TCGTGTTTGCGCAGGGCTGCATGATGTGGTCGAATCGCGTCCAGCAACCGCCAACTACGTTTGTCGACGATGTCCCGCTGAAAATTGAAGCAGACTTCGATCTGCAAGACGACAGCCAAGTCTTGCAGGAAGTCCGCAACCTGAAGATGGAACTTCGCGACGATCTCGGCATTCCCTTTTCTAACGATAAGATTCACGTTCGCATTTTCCGGGATGCGGGGACCTTCTCCGACTTCACTAGCCGCCATTTCCCACAGCTAAATGGACGCCGAGCTTTGTTTGTTGTCGAACGAGGTGAATATTACGTCTACGCGATTTGGTCGGAGAATGTCCTGTCCGACCTTCGCCATGAACTGACGCATGCGTATTTGAACTCGTCGGTAGGTACGTTGCCGCTGTGGCTCGACGAAGGTTTGGCAGAGTATTACGAAGTTGCTGGGGTTCCAGGCCGACTCAATCGAGAGCACATTCCGTGGCTTTCCGACGGTAACCAAAGAGGTACCTGGCAACCCGATCTCGAACGCTTGGCGTCGATTTCAAAACCGGAACAGATGACTGGGACGGACTACGCCGAGGCTTGGCTTTGGGTACATTACCTAATGCAGAATCAACAGTCCGCGATTGTCCGCGACTACTTAGTAGCTCGGCGCGAGAAAACCATCGTCGACCCAATTCCCCTCGCCATACGCAGCTCAATCCCCAATGCTGAAATCAAGCTCGCCGAGCATATCAACACGTCCTATCCTCTCGATAAGCCCCGTCTCGAATGATCATTCGCGCCGCTTCGGTTCAGTTTCAGCATCAACCGGGAAATCAAACTTACAATCTCGGCAAGATCGAAGAGTTTTGCCAGGCGGCTGCCTCTTCCGATGTGCAGATGATTGCTTTTCCAGAGATGTGCATCACTGGGTATTGGCATGTTCGTAACTTAAGCCGTGAATCAGTTCAAGCACTTGCAGAAGCCGTGCCGAGTGGAAAGTCGACCGCCACGCTCGTTTCCTTTGCGGAGCGATTCAATCTGATTATCGGAGCAGGCCTAATCGAGGAAGCCAACGATGGGCGACTCTACAATACCTATGTCGTTGCCATGCCGGATGGCGAAGTTTACTTTCACCGAAAGCTTCACTGCTTCATCAGTCCTCACATGAACAGTGGCGATCGCTTTACGGTTTTCTCGTCGCCCCTTGGCTGCAAGTTGGGCGTGCTGATCTGTTGGGACAACAACCTGGTAGAGAATGCCAGAGCCACCGCATTGATGGGTGCCGA